CCCCCCCCCCCCCCCCCCCCCTCCCCAGTCCACCACCAGGACCCTTGCCTACGCCCCTCCTCGTGTCCATTGCGAAACCAACACACGTACATGCCACGTCCCCCGGCACATCTTCGTCCGCATATCACACTCAGTGGTACTGGATGAATTTTGCTGTTACTAGACGCCGCGAAGCATGACACACATACGCCATGCGTAGGAATGAGTTTCTCCAGGCAACTCTTCCCCCGCAATGGAGCGCATTTCGCACCGAAAACAGTCGAAGCACCCAAAATCAAAATAGCGCCCGCAACAACACAGATGAAACCACCTGAAAATGCAATAGAAGCAACAACAAAAACAGGCGACAGCCCATCTCACGGCAACCGTACCAAAAAGATCATGTGAGGACCCAACGCCGCCAAGCAGATGCACATAAAAAACGTCCGACAGCGCCCCTCAAAAGCAGAGGTGGCGGTTTGCCTCTCCTCCGCAAAAACGCCTTCATCACGCACAAGACCTCAGCCACCTATCTGTTTCTCGCTACAGTACATCATACATTTTTCGCGTTCATCCACAAAACCATCGTACAGCAGCAGTAGCAAGAGGAGACTTATCGCCCATATTTACACGGGTGGTATAGTGCGTGAAAAGAACATGTTTCGGGTGCTGTACCGCTGATTTTTCTAGACTACACTATCGTGCTGCAAAAGGTCATCCGCGCTATCCTTACCCTAGCCCTACTCACAAAATTCTAACCCTCCAAGTCCCCTAGACTATGCCATGCCTGAGTCTCACCCGAACCCTTCGTGGCCCCTTGGTTCTGGACGTATCACGAATGGTGTTGCTCTTCCTACCGGGACTACTGCTCTTCTACTGGTCCACCCGCGCTCTTGCCGGCGCGTGCGTTTTTCTCGCATTGCGGGGTCAAGGTTCCCTCGAACCTGCCTTCAATCTCTTCTCTGTGCAACTCTTCCCAACTCCTCCCCCCCTTCGGCGACAAACTTTCCCAGGCCGTCTCGCTTTTCAGCACGAAAAGTAGCCTAGCCACCGTCATCGAGTCACCCTTAATCGACAAGAGAAGAGCCGATCGAGTCACAGCCCACCGCTCCTCCTCCAACGGTCGTAGGTATGGCGGTGCAGCGTGTCGCAAAAAATGCACACGCACACATGTTCCGCTGCGGGTCAAGACGTTTGGCGGCGACGTGCGCTCTCGCATTGGCACTTGCAACTCGGTGGCCGGTCACACTTGTCGCTGCGAATCGTTTCCCCAGCTCACAGCGTCTTTCGTCGTGCAAACTCTCGATAATGCACAACAGACAACGCGTGGCTAAGGGGTTTTGCACAAAAGAAAAATGCGATACGTCTTGGTGTTTTCTCAGCATCCAAACCGACCACCGAAACGTTCGTAGAACCGGGCACCCACCCGTAGTCGTGAGCTTTCAACCCTCCGGGTGCAATCGACATTCGGCGAGCACTGGCCGTCAACTACAAACGTCGCCGCATCCAAGACTACCACCACCAGTCCTCCCGAGCGTCAGCGTCAGCGTCAGCCACCGTAGAGGACGATGCTGCTCGACACGCCAACGCCACGGCTGACATGAGTGTTGTACACCCCGCGGCGACGACTCCTAGCCCCTGCGCCCTCACTCCTCTTCCTGCTGCGGCTGCAGCTGTTGCGAGCGACGCCGCCCCAACCCCTCCAGTTCTCTCTGCCGACCCACCACTCCCACCACCACCGGCACCACCACAAGCTACAGCGGAGCTCACGCGGGAAGACGTCAACGCCTCTTCTCCTTGCTCGTCGGGGGCACCGTGGTCGCCCAAGTCGTGAAAGACCGGGGGGGGGGCCGGGGGCGTGATGGGTGAAAAAGGGGGGTACCCTGGTGGGGAAGACTTGACGGTGTCACCGGCGAGCGCCCGGGGGAGAGGACAGCGATCGGGAAGGATCGGGGCCACTCCGGCAGCGAAGCCGCTGCTGCTGCTATCATTGCCCTCACCTTCCGGTGTAGACAGCCCACCGCAACAACCATCGGCGCCGGCCGAGATACCGCCGACTACGCCACCGTGGCGTTCGTCCAAGGCCTCCAGGATCCGGTCTGCTAGAACTTCCCACCGCGCGTTCCTTTCCTCCGGGCTGCTAGCCGACAGTGCCGCCGGCGGTCCTCTCGTCCGCGGTGGAGATTGGGTCGCTTCGGACATCTTGTCGGAGGATTGTGCGGAGAATAACACCCTCCCCCAGCCTCGCGGTCGCCGGCCGCCGGAAAGAGTGGTGTCCCCGCTAATGGAGCTCGCCCCACCAGCCGAAAACGATGGTGGCGATCGGGGCGTCGCGCCGTCGCTGTACATGGCGTCCTGGCTCGGTGTACGGGGCGGCGGCGAGGTTTCCGTGGATGGGGGCAGAGAAGGGAACGCGTCCGCGGCAGACGCGTACTCCTCGGTAGAAGACCCGGCCCGCTTTTCCGCCGGGGCGGCGCAATCCCCGTCGGCGGCTCGCGAGCGGGGCGAAGCGCTGCCGCTGTCCCGGCCGTTGGGCCCCCCGGGCGGGCTCCCCAAACGCTGCCATTTCCGCGCGTCTGGACCACCTTCCTCCCCAGAGACGCCACTACCTCCGCGAGGGTCGTGGTAGGCCGAGCTGAGCGCCCGTTTGCCGCGCCTGGTTGCGCCGTCGCTGGCGGTAACGCCTCCCGGGCTAGGAGCACGATCATGATCCACGCTGCAGCCGCTCGGGGAAGGACTCTTCTCTCGAGGGGAACAAGAGGAAGATACGGTCGCGGCCGACAGGGGAATCCCCTGGGCGAACTCGGGGGCATCGCGGCCGTCCTCGCTGTCCGTGAGCCACTCGAGGAGAGACCTCGCGATGGTGGTTCCAGACGGGTGGCTCGCCGCCGGGCCCTCGACTTTTTTCTCCAGGAGGACCTCCCCCCCGAGGAAGTCCTTTCTGCGGAGCCCTCCCTCGGCAGCAGCAGCAGTTGCGGAGTGTTGCTGTAGTTGCGAGTCGTCACACAGCTCTGTCTCGAACGCCCGTCGCGCCAACCGGAGCCCCTCCGACACGAGCAGCAGAGCGTCGCCATCTCCCAGGCCCATCGTCGCCTGCACTCGGGGAGGGAGGCACGGTCCCCCCGCGCGGGCAAGGCGCCGAGCCAGCACCAGAGACGCCAGCGCGAGGACGGTGGCTCGCGAGAACCGACCGCGGACGTCGCCGGCCTTGCCTTGCTGCTGCTGATGAGGTGCCGGCGGCGCGACACTTTCCCCGTCGTCCGGGTTCCGCAAAGACCACGCGACAGCGGCGGCGGTGCTGCCGGTGGTCGTACTACTAGACCGGGGCTGGCTGGCGGCGGTTGTTGTCGAAGCTCCGGCAGGCGTAACAGGCGTCGCGGTTGCCGAAGCCGATGATGACGGCGCTTGTGACCCCGGAGTCTCGGTAGGACCACCGGGAGCAGGGGTAAGAGGGGCGGTGGAGGCCGACAGAGCAGGCGAAAACACTCTCCGTCCGTGCGGCGGTGATGCCCCTGTCTCGTGCTCGCTGTCCTCGTCGTAGGGGTGCAGCAGGAGCACCAGGCATAGGGAGACCCACTCTGAGCACGCCTTCACCACGGGGGACTCGCCCGATAGCGCGCAGAGCAAGGTTTGCAGGCTGAAGGCGTTGGCGCGGAAGGAGGCGTTGAGTACAGCCCCCATTGACAACGAGATGTCGAACCCTGTTCAGCAGCAGCAGCAGCAGCGCCACGTGGTAACGAAGGGAGAGGAGTCGAAAGTAGTTCCAATTGATTCGTCACGAGAATTTCCTGTCTGTCGAGGTACCTTGACTAACTTTCCACGCATGGGGTGTAGAGGTGGCAATAAAATAGGGAACCCACAGTTGCCCTCGCATTTTGTAGAGTTGTCAATCATTTTGCCCGAAACTACCCAATACTATAGCACCGTGGGCCAGACATTTTTCAGTGTTCTACCATCTCCACAGGCCCACGAGTAGTGAGGCAAAGATGGCGGATATCCTGCTTTCGATCGAGCGCGCATGGCTTTCTTTCGGAGGGGAGGAGGGTCGACTCGCCGTGAGGTGTGAACGTGGCCTCGCACACGCTGCCGCAGCGGACGCACCATTCAACACCAACTCCAAGGCAACACACGGCAGTGCTGCCTTCTACTGCGTTTCACGGGGGCATTGTCTCGGACATCATCTGGGCCTCGGAAACGCGTTTCCCGCCAACCCGCCCGGTCAGTATAGGGTACATACTGCCCGGTCATGAGAAAGCAAGAGGGCATCGCGACGTACATGATTCATCCTCCAACGTTTTCTTGATGGCATGGCACCGGCAGAGCTGTAATCGCTGCCTCTTTTGAAACGCATTGTTCCTCTTTGCCTAGGAGGGGGGACACCCCAAACGAACCCCTCACCCTTCAAATTATCAACGAGACAGCATCGTGTCATAAGCGTTAACAACTAGAATTCCGACTCATGGAGTAACGAGGTTCAAGAGACGGTGTCAAAGAATGTTCCACTTTTATCCACACACCAAGCCAAATGGTTAGGCTATTCCTTGGGAGTCACCTACCACTGATGATTGACGCACAACATGGTGATGGTACAGTAGCGAACCCGCAAGCGATATTGAAGCCACCGAAACTAACGTTTGTTTCTAGCCTATGTGTACAACCAGGCGATTGTGTGCGTCCGTTGAGTCAGATTCCAAACACCCCCCGGTATGCTACCGCTTAGGTACCGCTCATCAGCAAAACGCGTGCTCTTACCAAGCGCATGGACCTCAGGCCTATGAACACAGGACCCGAAGTCCTCCAGCACCGAGTCTTGGGTGTGGTACTTGGAGGCAAGGTGGAGGCATGTCATCGACAGGAGCTCCAGCGGCGGCAACCCTGCGCTACCGCCGACGCTTCGTCGTCGTCGCCGCCGCCGCTGCTGCTGCTGCGAAGGGATAGGCTGCCGCCGTCGTTGACTATGGGCGCTGTTGCTAACGGTTGAAAAGTTCATGGCGCCGGGCGACGACGCTAGCGACGGGTACAGATGCCGGCGTTGTAACCACCTCAGGGCAAGGGTGGTGGCGGAGGTCACAACCTGGGCGTCAATGTGACGGTTCTCTAGCGCGGACTTCATCCACCCGCGGACTCTACCTGAGTCTAGCGCGAACAGGACGGCCTTTTCTGTAGGGGGGGGCGTGAGGAGCAGCGGCAACGATATGTTGCTCTTGCCACCTGCCTTCGCTGCGAACGTTGCCGCCTCCGCCACCGCTCCCGCCTGGTGGTTTGACGGTTACACGCGGAGGGCTGATGGTCAGAGGGTCTGTAGAGACTTTTTACGTAGGCGGCGGAGTCATTCGTCAACAGCTATAATAGGACATGGAGACATCCACCGCCCCACGATATCAACTCGACGAGTGAGCCAGGAATGCCTCCACAGGCCGCCGCTCCCCATGAACCCGGAACGTCCTGGTCGACGCAACGTGAAACGAGGCTTGACATACCATACAATAATGACACAACAGCGTCGGTGAAAAAGTGAGCGCTACGACACAAGAAATCTGGCAGCTATTTATGAGCGTTGATTTGGGCCTACAATAGCTGTTACAAGAGGAACAAGTCTCTGATCAGGCCAAGAAGCCTGGATAGACTACGGTGAAGGTGGCCCTTGGTTTTGCCCCCAGAGAAGCAACAAGCCGCGAGTCTCAGAGGCCAAAAAAGAAGAGATGATGGATACCCAGCGGTTACCGCAAGTTGTGCGAGTGATAGCATCCCCCCATAGACCGAATTTATCAGCTCGATTCCTCCACAGCAGCCAAGGGCGCCTGGAAACCGGACGATGGATCTAGGAATACCTCTGTCGACAAGGTTAAAAGGACATTATTGGCGCCCTCTCGGTTGTGGAGCAATCGACCTATGTATGTATGCAAGTATTTCTAGGAGGACTGCGATCACGGGGGCATAGCGTTACTCTTCTGACCTTTTCCCTCAAGTGTACCCTAACAACCCACCCCACAGCAGTCAACATTTGTACATGTACAGCAGTACAGCAGTACAGTAGTACCTCATCCCGGCCGAGCTTCATGAGGTGGGAAAACAGAGTAGTGAGTTGGATCACACCACCATCATCCATGTTGCCATTCGGTCGACGAAGGACCGGTGACAGCAGTGGACCCTGGCCCTCTGGCGCGGCGTGTTGTTGCTCGTCCTGATGATTCTCAAGGAGAGCGGCATGTCGGGCGTGTCTCAATAGGTACGGTACTCCGCGGTGTACTTACCATACAGCAGTTGAGCGGAGTGAGCCCGCTTCCATGAGTTAGCGCTATACTGCTGTTTCGAGCACGAAATACTCCCAGGCACCCCCCTGCTAAAATCATCGATGCCTCGCTCTGTACACCCTCCTCTGTGTCCATCGAACGTCTACGTGGAGACACACACGTGCACATGTTTGTAGGTGGATACAGGCCCAGGAGCATTTCAAACGTTCAATCTAACCAGAGGCGGAGCATGATAAACAGCGAGGGGCGCAGGGATTACTGCTGTAGTGAAAAGCACATCTCGGTACGACGTGTCTATATACAGCAGTAGTTGCACGAGCATCGTAACATGTAAACGCGCACACCGCTTGTCTCTCGTGCAGCATGAGCGACTCGGATTTGCTCTCGCCGTCTGTTAGCCTTGGGTGGTTCACTCGGGAGCATGGAGTGGATTTTTCTGCATGGATTTCAATTTTTAAAACCAACTCACTTTGGGCCGTCGACGAGCACTGCTACTGCAACGAGCCATGCTCATGAATGTAGCAATGCAGAGCGGATCACTTTACCCGTGTGCACTGCTGACTGGGAATCAGCTCACGGACCGCCAGCTCTCAAGCAAGGAGAACGCGGGAAAAGTGTTGGGCAAAGTTGTGTTGATGATGATCCTCGCAGAGGCGGGAAGGCGTTGAGGAAATAAAGTGGCGTTTTGGGGGACCCCGCACTGATCAAGCAAGGATCTATGTTAACTTCCTGTTCGGAGGTCTCCGTGGGACGGCAGTTGCGGCAGTCTTTTCCCATCAAACCCTCTGCCTCTCTACCCCGCTCCTTACCTGCTTGCCCCCGCGTCTCCATCTTCTTTCATTCTACACACAACCCAGCACAATGGTGAGCAATGGTGTACGCGCGTGTAAGTTTGTGTACAGCTTTGATGTGCACCCCAAAGTCCGGTAGTGTTTTTGGTTTCTGGCTGCTGATGTGACGTAGTCTGCGAGTGCAGCTTTATTCTCGATCAAGCAGCAGAGCGGAGTCGGGGAGAGAACAAAAACGATTTGAACAGCCCGCGACACCCTTCAGCTCGGCACCAACAGTTGGAACAAGCTGCCGTAGGCTGTGAGCTTTTCCGCCTCGGTGCGTCGAACGGACAGCACCTTCGTCCCTCATTTTTATAATGTAGGCTGATTTCACCGCGGCAAGTAAAGTTGTCTGGCGACAACGTGGTCCCAAAATTCTCGTGCGGGCGGGCGGGCGTAAACCTGAACCAGTGCTGCCCAAATAAAAGGGTCTCTTTTATTATGATCCACTGGGCTGTGGCCGCGGGAACAACGCTCAGCATGCTCTCTTCCCCCTCACCCAACCCCTCCTGTAGCTCTCGTATTGTCGGCGGTCTAGATGTTGTCCCCCGACAGCTGCGTTTTCTGGGGTGTGCACTAGAGAGAGGAGGTGGCGTGGCGCAGTAAAATGTGATTCCACACTGCTGTGTAGCGGCGATTCAGAGGTCGAGCAGTTTGGGGAACAGGGGATGCGAGAAGTGCTCTTACCCATCCATCAACTCTGCACGGGGTTGCTTGCCGCTGTCCACGTAATGGGGCTGCCGCCATGTCGGCCCTCGGGCCGAGTGTCCTCCTCAGCCTCTGTTCTTTTACCTGTAAACGTGAGAAAAGAGAGTGCGGATTTTTGAGGGTACAGAAACATCTCTTATCCCTGTTCTCTTTGGCGCACTCCTCCTGGCATCACATCATTGGCACTGCTGCAGCAGCAGCGCTCGCCAGCTGCCGTGACGTTTGTTCCGAACGTTGTCGAAACTCGAGTAACTTCGTCAGTACCACTCAGGGTAGATATTGCTTCCCCGAGGCACGCACGCATGAAGCAATTATCTGGCTCAGGGTGGCGGTGGTGGTCGTGCTGCCCTCCTTGTTGTGGTGTACATTCGCCGTTCTGCGGTGGTGTTTGTTTTATCAGGGGATTTCGCCGACAGTTTCCGACTGCTGGTATAGGTCATTCGAGTCGGCTTTGGTCTCTTGTGTGGTTGCTACTGGTTCAGGTGGACTTGACTGCTGCTGCGAGGTAGAATACCGCACCACGTCAAGAACTACAGTTACATTGCTCGTCGTGTATCGGCGGTAGCATATCATGACCTTTCCTCGCCCATTCGAGCGATGTACGGCACGAGTCAGAGAACGCACAACTCAAGGACGCTTCTCCCCTCCATACGCCACGTATGTAACCAAAAATGTAAGCGAAATGCTATCTACACACCAGGCCCACATCCGGTTTGGGACGCCATCCGTACAGAAGTGATTACATGTCGGCGGAAGCTGTCGGTTCAACCCGAAATTCGAATGGCACGGTCAACGCCCTGTACAATGACTACGTAAAACTTGATCGAACAGCCAGTGCACCGCACACTAAAAAATACAAGTACACGGCCATATACATCCGCGTCCAACAACCAAATTCCAAAACCATACGGAGGCGTTTCTGCAGGGGACAACCCCTCGCCCCAAAGTATCGCCAGAGTTCTGACCGGGATGACCACCCCATGTTCTGTAGCTGGTATTACACAGCAATTGAGGGAACTACCGACCGTCGCCTGGCCGCGGAGTAGTCACCGCTCGAGAAAGCAGGAGGCAATTGCGAACGAGTCGATTTTGAGAACCCACAGCAGCGATAATATCATTGGTGTTGGTGGTTCATCACCCGATTTTCGATTGCGGACGACCGTCAAGCGCTCTTTCACTAATGCAGAAATCGTTTTTCTGAACTTGCATCGTCACACAGCGTAATTCTAGCTTGGAGGATGTTCAAAATGTGCAGTACTCCTTTGCCGCACGTGATTCATGATCATCGAAGCACATCGAACCGAACGCGTCGGGTCCGAGCTTCCTGGACCCATGCACAGGGTTGTAGGAGTGTTTTCTATGAGCAGTGATGATCGCCCTGTGCTTGTCGTATGTCCCATTGGTTAAGCTCGACCAGTAGTACGGGTGTTGGAAAGGGGTGCCGAGCGAAGATGGGAACAGTTTTTCAGTTGCGGAGGGCGAAAACGATGGCGTTGCTGCTTCTGACGCTACCCTCTCTCGCACCGCTTTCGTGCGGGACTCGAGACGAGTACCTCGGATTTCTGCGTGATGTATTATAGCGTAAATTCTCGCATACATGCATACATGCTGGATTTGCGTAAATATCGCAAATGCTGAGTTGACGGGGAATATCAGACCTCTTCGGACGACTTTCAAAGCTCGATGGATTGCTCCACAGGAAGAAACAAGTGTCGGTGCCGAATTGTGGCGTTTATGAGTTGCCACCCCAGAGCATGTCACTCGAACATTTTGTCGTTTCGGCTTGGACGCTCTCGTTGTAGTGCTCGAATTCGAGCTGTGAAAATTGGTCCAACGGCGGTCTGATACAGTTTTGTCACACCATGGTTTGCATCGTGTGAGCGAGGAACGTACGCCTGTGATTCATCGACACCAGTATTCCCGCTCTGTTCACGGTAGTTCTTTGCTATCGCCGATCGTGCGTTCTCGACAGCTTGAAGGCTTTCCCTCACACCCGAAAAGAGTCAAATCCGGAAACCGGTCATGGCGATCAAATGTTTCTCCGGCTGCGTTCACTATTCAGGACATCCATTCGCCAGCAACAGCATAATCGCCGGTCACGGAGCTAAACGAAGTTGTGCCGTACCCGAAAACGACCGGTGCGCTTGCACAGATGTCACTGATCCCGCCCCCCTCTTGTGTCACAGTTCGGATGCGGAAAGGCCGTTCGGATTTTAACCCCGCTTTCCCCCCGCCCTCGCCCCCCGCCCCCGCCGAACACCAGACTACCGGTGTAACTGTAAACGATGAGGCGGTGGAGATGTTCAACGCCTTCAAGCTGCACCGCGCGCCGCACGACAACCGATACTTCATCTACAAGATCGAGAACGACGCCGAGATCGTCGTCGACACCTTCGGCGACAAGACCAAGACTTACGAAGACTTCACGGCGTGCCTGCCGCCCAACGAGTGCCGCTACGGCGTGTTCGACCTGGACTTCACCACCCGGGACGGCCGCGAGGCGAACAAGCTGATCTTCATCTCGTGGTCTCCGGACACGGCCAAGATTAAGAACAAGATGGTGTACGCCGCCTCGAAGGTGTGCGTGTGTGTGGTCCCTTGTGCTCTCCGTCTGTGGCCTGCTGCATTTTTTGGTTGCGCTGTTGTTGACATTTTGGGGGGGGGCGCGGCATGTATTTTTTTTGTAGTGTTGAGGGCCTTGCTCGAAAAATGGTGACGTTCGATTCGTTGTCAATTTGGCTCGGGTGTTGTATTGTGTAATGTCTGTGTTTTACCGAAGGTTGTGCTCTAATGCCGGCTTCAAGACACCCATGTGTGTGCCTTACGAGTGCTCACGGTGAACGCAAGGGCAAGGTGTGTGCTAGCGTGCCTGTGGGCTATCGGCTCAACGTCTTGCTACATCATCACCCGCGATCCTAGAGAAATCAGTCATGGCCTTTGCGTCGGCAGCCGGTCGTGGTGGAACGTCTCTTCTCTGTGGAGGTCGAGGCCGGTCGTGTACTTTTTTTTCGTTTCTTGCCGGTTGGCTCAAAACTGTCTACATTGGTGGGTGGCGAGTGCCTCGAACAACGAAGTTCAATGGTCGAAAGCAGACTCCAAGCAGGTCTTTCGTGGAGAGATGGCGTTCTGTGTGTAGCCCACATCGGCCCCAGATCTGGTTGTCTAATCCTCGGGAAGAGAATGAGAAGATGGTCGAGAGTTTTTGCATCGAAACACTGGAAGACATCACCCGCCCCCGCGCGGGAGGTCATTGGTTGAACGACTATGTGCATCCACGGCTATGAGCAAGAATGACCCTCTTGCCTCTTGTTATTTCCGAATGTCCCATTTTGAGTTGTGCCCCACCTCTACTAAACAACGACATTCACCACGGGACAACATTTTCAGGAGGCGATCAAGTCCGCTCTGATGGGAATCGGGATCCACCTGCAGGCCACGGACCAGGGGGAGCTCGAGCTAGACTACATCAAGTCCCAGGTCCAGAAGGTTTGATTTCATGGAACGAAAGGACGAAATCGAGCACACCGCGTAACCGTGTAGCACGCGCTCCTTGGGTCTCGCTTCGGGAGAGGTGGAGCCGACGCAAAGCAACGGGAAAGAGGAGGCGTGGTTGAGACCTGGAGCATCACCGCGCCTTCTCCTTCCCTATCTATGTTGCTCTTCAGGGGAGAGTGTTTAGCAACGGTGCGTGTGTGGTGCGTGTTGGAGAACTTGTTTTTTTTTGGTGGGGGGATCGGGGTCACCCTAGAGGAGAGACGAGAGAGGTGGTGTCGGTGCGGAAAGTCGAAACGCGAAGAAGTGAAAGCGTCATTCAGAGCACGTAGTTATTTCGGCAGAGGTATTTGACGGTGCAGGAACACAGTGTTGGGGCGGAGCAGCTCGCATCGGAATCGCAGGCGTGTCTCTCCAAGTGGGCGGGTGGGGGCTGCTGCAGAAGGGGTTTCCCTTCGAGCCGAGCCCGAAGTTGATGGCGCCCCGTCCCTCCAACCGGCGAATATTCATTTCGTTTCCCGCTTTTTGTATAGTTCCCTTTGCCGAGGCTGTTTGTTCGATGATGTAGCGCCTTCGGGGCTTGAACCGCTTTAACTCGAAGCGGCCGCCTCGCCCCCCGCGTGGTCGTCGCTTTCTCCCCTGCCCAGAGTTGTATACAGTTGATGAAAGTTCTCAAAAAAAAAAAAACTGAAATTGATTATGATCCGGATCACCAGAAAATTTTGGACGACACTCTTTCTTGTTTTGGTTGGTTGTCTTTGCCTGCTGGTTCTGTGGATCTTCTATTTCTGTTTTTGGTTGTTTCACGTTCTTGTATTTTCGTTGGCATAATCGTAGCACAAACATGAGCGTCGGATGGGTTAGGGGGGGGGTGCGCGTCGGAGGGCAATTGGTTGTTCAGATTTTGGTAATGGGATAAGGTCAGAAACTACCCGGGCGGAGAAATGGCGCCGTCGTAGGGGGGGGGAGGGAGAGAGGGGCACGTGGAGGAAGGAGGAGGGTTTGTGTTCCGGATCGCGTGTCGAAATTTTCGGCGCCTGGTGATTCGTAGTGCCACTCGCTCCGGGTGGTGTCATTGTTGCTTGTGTAGCGAGAAATGGCGCCGAAAATTAGGAGGACAGTATTTTCGCCAATCGTGAGGCACGAGAGCTGTTCTGGATGTGTACAATCAAAGATGGGCTATCAGCAGTCCCCAGGCTTCGCTGGCAAGAAGGTCTGTACTTTTTCGGTTAAAGGCCGGCAGGGCGAGGAGGGATGTTTCCCCCAATCTCCCCCCCCCCCCCCCCCCCCCCCCCCCCCCCCCCCCCCCCCCCCCC